TGAGTTTGTTTTGCTGTTGTATTTGTTTTGTGTTGGTGTGGAGGAGGAGGTTATTTGGTTGTTTTGGTGGGGATGTTTGTTTTCGAAAGAGGGAGTTGTTGCTCTTGATTTGAGGTTTTTGGAAGGGGGGGTGTTTGGCTTTTTTTAAATTATAGTCATATGTCTACAGATTTTTGATCTTTTTTCTTATTTTTGATAGGGAAAAAAAAATCAGCATTTTTTCAATTTTAAAATTCTCAGCTGGCAAAAGTTTAAATTGATATCCAAGAAGCAAATCCATGCCTGTCCTTTAAACTGCACATCTCAGTCCTACTGAGCTTTCCTTCAAAGCAGTAGTTGCAGTGTTGTGAGCAAAGAAACAGCCTACAAAGACCAAAATCAACACCAGGATGAATAAAAAAAAAAAGCAATTAATGTCAAGATGATTAGACTAAACTTCTCTAAGAATTTCAGTCACTATTATACGATTTAAAACTAAAGATAGATGTACTGCATGAATCAGATACACCAGCTGAATGCTAATTGATCTAAATCACCCTGTTATATTAGTTTTGCACTGACATTTCTGTAGTTGTAAGAAATGAAGAAGATACAGCACCAAACCTCATCGGTAAGACAAAATGCAATTCTCAGCTTTCAAAAGTAAGACTACAATAATGATTGAAAAACCTGCTTTGAGAAAAGACAATGATTTGAGAATTCCTAACACAGTGAAGAATTTGTTGAAAGGAGTAGACAGATGCAGAGTACACAGACTGCTTTAGACCAAGGCAGTCAGTGCTTACATAACAGTGAAGACTCCATTAGATGACTTACATAAGAAAAATCTGAGATAGCTTTAAACAAGCTTGTCTTCAGCAAGAAACCTTTATGGCAGAACCAATAAATGAAAGTTGCTTTTCAGTTAGAAACTGTCCTCACATTTGCAGTAGAATAATATCAACTACTCAGGATCACATCAAAAATTATCAGAGCTCAGCATATTTAAAAAAAAAAAAAACGTAGTCTCTCAAAAAGAAACCTGAGAAAGCACAGACCACACTGCATTTTTAAAGAATATGACACTTCATCAATATTAGAAAAGGCTTACTTTGTAACAAAAAAATTATTTTTAATATTAACAGAAGGCATATTGCATGCAGTTTTTGCTTCCATTTTTATTACTACTATTTTGCAACAGAATGGAACTGAAAACACATTATCATGGACACCGTAATGTGAGTGGTATCATTCCCTATAGTCTGTTCCTCCAAAATTCTAATCATAGCAGCTGAAGCAAATACCTCCCTGGCACCTAACCCTTGCTTTGCATTATATACTTAAAAGCCTGGCTTTGCCAGCGAGATGGAACTCTTAGATTTACTACAGGACTCACTAAACATAATCAGAGTGTTTAAATAAAAAAAGTTTAAAGAGGCATCAAGATTCAAATAAGGCAGATGTCTTTTGCAAGTCAAAGGAAAAAAATGTAAGCATATAAGACAAAAATTTGAATCGGTTCTTAGGCCCCAGCAGTATTTGCAAAGTAGGTGAAGGATGCATGTCTCTACAGCATCAAGTAACTTCTTGTATGCTGTCAAATCTACACCACAACTGTAATACTTCCATAAATCAGATAACTTAGAAATAATATTATTCTATTTCCTTTTGTGTGTTTTTTTTTTTTTTTTTGTGGTCTTCCTTCACTCTGAAAACTAGCAGTAGAACATTAAAATGCTACATTTTAAAGTGCCAATTTTGCTTAAAAGCTCATCATAATTTACTGGATTATTATTGTTTATTGTTTTCTGAGCTACTTACAGTGTCTGTATTTAAAGTCAATTTTGGTAAAAAAATCATATATCACATCTATTCATAGGAGACATAACAAGATACATGGGTAATATTATCCTATTGCAATAAAATAATAAAACATTCCATTAAGATAAGGTGTGAAGGGTGTTAAAAAAAAAAACAGTTTCAAAAAGCAACAAAAATATTCTTAGGCATCTTTTTGAAACTCAAGGAGACAGCAATGATAGCTACTCATTTGATGTTCACAGTACAGCCAGACTTAAGAACTCTAATAAATAAATTAACATTGAGAGCAATAACCTAGCAAAATTTTGCTTTACTGAGTATCTCACAATTTCATCTGCTCAGTGAAATTTAAGTCTAGGTCAAATGACTCAATGTGTAAATCATTTGGGCAGGAGAGACTGTCAATCATACTTTGATTTCAAAGGTATTGCTTTGAAAGTAGCACTCAGTATATATACTTCAAAATGAATCACGTAACCTTTACACTAATTTTTCATTTAGCAAATATTTATTAAACTAAATGGCAAAACAAAGCAGTTGGTAATTGAGAAATCTATACTGCCCAGATACACAATTATACACACTTTTTATATCTTCATTTTTTTAACAATGCTTAATTAATAATCAGAAAATGTGGATTCCTCCAACATTATTAGAAGCCACACTGCTTCTAAAAGTGGAACCTTGACTTTAAAAAGACATTGATTCTGATCACCCAGAGCTCACAGTAAATACCAAATGGATTCTTGATGCCTGGCTAGTGGGGAGGGACAGAGGTGAGGTGTGAGGGGGTGGGGAAAAAGGCGTTTGCATTTAGAGCCCTACTGTGCTATCAGTTCCTTAAGTGTTATGACAACATCTGTCACTGACTTTGCATGTTGAAAATGCTTGCAGATCTTGAAGTTTGGTATGTTTTTATTGAGACCAGCTTACAGAAGAAATAGACTTTATAACAATACAGAAAGATACATGTTAAAGTCAGCATCCATGCTCAGTTGCCATGATCAACAAGAAATAGTAAGCATAAAAGGACAGAGGCATTTGAAATTCTAAATAAAAAGTACCTGAGGTTTTCTATAACTATTGTAACCAGAAGGGTGGGGAAAAAAAACAAAACACCCCCCACAAAACACTGGCATGACAGAGGCATAAAAAATGCTCTAAACAGCTGTCAAATCTATGTTTTGTCTCTCCCGTCTTTCATTCAGTAATGAAATATAACAAAAGCAAGAAACAAAAGCAAAATAGCTTGACATGAACACACACTGTCCACCTTCAAGAACAGGAGCACAGATTTGTTAGTGAAATAGAAAAGATGCTGATGAAAAGGTAAAATGTATAGCTTCCAATTACCTACAATTATAACAACCAATAGGAAGACATCTTTTTACTTCAGGGAGAAAAAATACATTACAGAAGGGATAGCAGCAGTATCTACTATGAGGACAAGAAGAATGACTAAGGATATCATACTGATTCTTTGTGGATTTTAGTATGATTGTAAAACATGGTTTATTCCATATTTCTGAAGTAAATGTTGACTATCTGTATTCAGCAGATTTAATGTTTAAAGCCATTTTAGTGCAAAAATGGTTGTGCATGGAACAGTTCCAAAGTTAAATAAAGGTACCTGTTTGTTATAGCCCAATAAGAAATTAAAGCCTTTTAATAATACTTGATTAGATACTAATTAAAACTGAAAGGCCCATCTGTTTTATAAATTCCAGGAGTTCTTAAAAAAAGAGATTATATAAGACTATACAGTTTTTAAAGAACATAGTCTAAAAGTATAAAAAATATTGAAAGTTCAGAGTTTCATATTAAAACAAAAGTTTGTCCAATATATTGAAATGAATTAATTTAATGGCCTTGAAAGGTAGTAAGAGACCTCAAATATTTTTGTTCTTAGTAGCTCTGTATTTTAGCTTAGTGAAGTTCATGTTTTGCAGTCCTGGGTATACAACACTGAAGATGCAGATACTGCTAAGGAACTCATACGCCTTTCGTAATCATTAAGTCAGTTGCTTTCATTTTACATGGAAAGCATAAGCTTTTTATTCTAGCTGCTACATCTACAGTCCATTACATAATTTCACAAATATACAAGCCTTTGAAAGTGAGTGCTACAAGCTCAAGGAATCTCCTTCATAATCAGACAAAAAAAACCCAAACCCAAACAACAACAACAAAAAAACACAACACCAAAAAACACCAAACCCAGCCACAATTAACATGTGACTTAGAACCAAGAATCACATCTAAAAAAAACAGCAGAAATTTAACGTTTGGGTTGAATGCGTGTCTCTATAGTTAGGGAATGTTTCAATGTTTTTCCATTTGCATACTGCAGTTCAAGGATCACATACTAAACGCCGCAAAATCAGTCTTAAAGTCTCTAACATGTTCCTTTTAGTCTCTCAATTTATTTTTACAGCAGTTGCTGAAAGAAAGTCTGTAATACATAACTTTAGTATAGGTTGCATATTTAAATTGGAGTAGACACAGTCCTTGATCTATACCTTCCACTCAAATACACTTTCTCATTACCCTCTGCCCCAATTATGTAGACTTACACCAATTTCTCAAGTTTTTGTAATACTTCGCTAGCTTATTATACAGCTGTGCAGCTGAGCAAGAAGATAACCACATTCATTCCTCTTATCTGTAATGATGTAATACATCCCAGCACTGGGTTGAGATGATTGGGGGAATAATGGGATTGTGAAAACTGCAGAGATGACAAACAACAGTGCAGCCGCCTTACCCTGATACAGTGAATTGCATACATAGAGCACAGGGTGAAAATAATACAATATGCACTAATTCTGCTCCTTGAATGAAGTTAACATTTTTCATAAGAAGCAGCTGTTTCTACACAGAAACATCAACATCACAATGTAGCAACCAGATTAAACATCCGCAATCTAGGCTGAAGCCTAGACTTCAAGAACTAGAAGTGTTAGAGATCACTTTTTAATGATAACCCCAAAAAGCATTCCAAACATAAAAATATCAGTTTAATCAAGGACTCTACAGATAGTGCAGTGCAATGCAAAGAGTCACCAGGGACTAGTATGCAATACAAAAATAGATCTTGGACCAAAGCATATACAGCATTGCTTTCCTATTCATTTAAAAATTAAAACTGCCTCCATTTTCTCTCCTAAAACCTTCCTCATTACCACTGAACAGATCCTTACCTTCTGCAGGAGCTGGGAACCCGAGTACTTGGCTGCAATAGATTTGATCTCTCCACCAAATGCTGAGGCCCAGAGCTTTACACTGTGAAGAGAGGGGAGGAAAAAAAAAAAAAAAAAAAAAAAAAAGAGAGAGACAGGAAGAAATGTAATACACATGTCATAGGAAGCAACACAGACTGTAACAGCTTCAGCTGCACTCAGAAGGATCCCAGCAATTTTGCATTACAGAGCTCACTAAGGAACCTAAGCACAGCAAGAGATTAGCAAAGCCGTTGAAGTATAAGCATAAACTAGACGCTGTGCTAAGGTAAGGCCTCTGACAAGAAACTAAACAACCAGCACTATTTGAATTTAAAAAAACAACTTGTACAGAAACATGCTCTGACACAATATAACATATATCCCTTGAAAGAAGAAAGGCAAACAAAATGGCAAAACAATTCTGAAAGATAAATTCTTATATGAGAAGGAGTTAACAGCATCAACTTCAGTAAGCACAAGCACTTAAGACTCTGCGGGCACATACTCCACCAACACATGCGCCTACAATAAAATCCAAGTAGCACTGAGTGCCTTGGAGACTACCACTTTACACACAGCTGACAGAGCAGCAAAAGTGCCTTCCACAGTCAAGTATCTGCAATACAAAAAGATAAGGACTTGAGCAGCCTAGTTCTCATCCTTGAACATGGTCCTGAGAGCAATAGCATGAAAGCACTTACACAGACAAGGGGATCTGCTGCTCCGATCCAACCACATCCACTAAGGCTGTATTAAAAGCTGTCCAGAAGATAAAGAAAAAAACCCCAAAAGCCCGAAGAAGACTCAGGTTCTCTGGCATTGTCTCCCTCTGTACCTGGAAAGATTTTGGGAAATTCAAGTAAAGCTGAATTCAGCAGCAGTGGGGTTTTGCTTCTAAAGCCTTTTTCCTCACCCTTACCCCCCTCCACTAGAACAACACTGGAAGAAATCACAGCTCCAACCTCATCCCTCCAAAGAATGACCCTCTCTGTATAATGGATGGAGAGGACCAGAAGCGAAGCTCTAATGACTTGAAAACTATTGTGTCCCTGGTAACAGCAAAGCGTTTTCCAGCACTACTGCAGCCACTTGCATGTAGTTCTTTACAACTCCGCAGTCAGCAGTGTGCTGGAGTTACTTCAGTGACCTACTGCTGCTCCAAAGTGCCCTTAGCAGTAAGAAAGCAGACTATTGATTCCAACTGGGGAGGCTGTCTTCTTGCAATTACTGCTCACTTTGCAAATGGAAAGCTGCCTACAGTTCTCCTCTCCCTCGCCGACAACCTCCAGCCTTCAGCCCAGATCAAGTCAGCCAACGCACTGGTTCAGCGGAGCAGGGGCGCAGCCTTTTAACGGGATAGAGCCGAGACAGAGAGGCAGGCACAGGAGGAGCTGGACCGGAGGGAGGGTGCCTCCGGATGGCAAAAGCAGAGAAAGTCTGGAGGAGCCGAAAGTGGAGTTGAGCCCTTCCAGGAAGGCGAGAAGCGAGCGCTGCACATTGCTGGGGGCTGAGCGAGGGAGGGCTCGGCGGGGCTGATAGGGGCGGGGTGGGGGG